GTATTGACCATTTGGAGGACCCTGTCCACTTCCTTGGGTTCAACAGGATCAAACTGTTCCCAGATAACAGGGCAGGTCTATACCTGGGCATCTCTATAGACCATGCTGCACACTTGGTATCCAACTGGGACCAGGTGTGAGCAATTTTATCCTCTAGATGCCCAAAAAACTCCTCTGCACACCCCTGTAAATGGGCCACTGGGCCCCCCTTTCCCAAAAGGAATATGCATGTAAAGCGGGGGGGGGGTTCATTGCCCCATAGCCTTTTCTTTTAGTCTTGTATAATCCAGACTATTACACTATGACATAGGCAGAAAAAACCCACAAAACAAAACTAAGAATATTCATGGAACTAATGAAGTCAAGTCATCTTATCCGCCGTCTGCACATCAACTCACAAAAGCATATGTCATGGATATTGTCTGTAGCATATTATCAAAGAATTAAGGATTTACAAAATAGGTATTTTTTTTTCTTTCTGGCCTGTCTTTTGATTTAATTTTGAAATGTAACCAATATGTCTACTGTTTTCTGTTAATGTTACTCAATTCAAAGGTTATATACGTGGTTGAGAGGGTTATAATAAGTAACCTGGCATTATTTCTCCTTAAAAACCAAGATGGACAACTTGCATCATGCAGTCCTTTCAAACCCCATGTCAGAAGATCAGTTCAGGTCTTCAGCTTCTTGAAGAGAATGTCAGAAAGAGGAAAACAGATATCAGAGAGAACAAGAGTATCCACATTCATTTTAAATGCTGGCCACAACAGCTTACTTCCTCCACATTAACTAGGCACAACATTGAGATTATCCGTGTAGGCTCTTTAGAAGATAAGTGAGTGGTGTGATAAGCAGGGCCTTCTTGGTTGCAACTCTCTACTTCTGGTATCTCTCCGCAGAGACACTTACCAAGTACCTTCTCCAATGTCCTCACAATGACAAGGAAAAACTATTCTTTCTTTTTCTGGGCCATGACGAACGGTCTTACACTACTTGAACATTATACTTTTTTTAGCTTTCATCTTCATCTTTGTTGTGCAATAGCCATAAGCTATCATTGTTAGAAGCTGTAATGTTAGAAGCTGTAATGTCAGAAGCTGTCATGTTGTCATCACACATATGACATGAACTATGTAATTTGAATTCACATTGTTTGCACAATAACATCCCTTGCCTTCCTTTTCCCCTGTGGATGCTCACATTGATAGTGGTTTAATGTACTGTTTTTCAAATGATTAGCCCTTGAAACCAACAGTTGGCTTTGTTGTGTGCTAAATCACATTTGGAGAAGAGGGAGAAGGAGTTCTGGGCTGGATAGAAGATGGCAGAACCCAAATGAAAAATATGGATTTAGAAAAAATGATAGCAGTTTTTCATTCTCTCTTTTTCCTTGCATCTCTCTCCCTCTTCCTGCTTTCTGTCAGAAATGCAAAGATTGTAGGACAATTTGCGACACGCAAATCCTCAGCTCACCTTCTCCATTACGTCTTCATGGCCTACCGGACAGCATTCCATTTGTTGTAATGGACCAGCCTCAAGGGGACCAACAGGAAATGTGTATTGTGTGAAAGTAGCCAATGTAAGATGGTCTCATCTTACATTGGCTACTTTCACACAATACACTTAGACAGAGGTTTACTCAATTTACCCACAACAAGCGAACCTAAAATGTGCTTGGCTTGGCTTGTGGTTCAGTGTGAAATGCAAACACAGCCATTGTCACATTGCTATGGACAAATGACGTGGGGGAGGATTGTCAGGCCATTTAGATTAGCACAAAGGGCTAGGATTTGATCCACAAATGTCCTACAGAAACACCAATGAAAATACTGCTGATATGTCTGTCCCCCCTCTCCCATTTATGAAGCTTAAAGATTTGCAAATTGCAGAAACCTTTTTATGAAAGAATACATAGCATTGTAAAGGTTACCACTATCATTTTACCTGATCTGTAAGAAAGTCTGCACTCATTCAAGCTGGAGATGTAAACCAGGCTGCTGTGAAATGACAGTTCTTGCAAGCTTTTGGGGATTTATATTGTGGCCTTTTATTTGGAGCTAAAAACACAATTATCACAGAAGCCACCACAAATCTAATTTCTGCTGAAGCAGACAGAATAATAGTAACCTACTTCCAAGAGCAAATCTTTTTCTTTCTGACTTGTAGTATAGACCTCATAGCTTAAAGCAACATTTTGGAGTGTGTATGTGTATGTGTGTGTGTTTGGGGGTGGAATTAAGGTGTCTGATAGCTGTGTCTCACTTTGTAGGCTAGACTAGGTTCTGAAGGCTCTCTTGGAACTTCTGAGGACCAGGTCATGAGCACAGCATTTATTTATTTTTTTTTTTTGGGAAATAAAGCAAAATAAATGAAAGCCAAGCCTCTGGATGGATTCCTTGGCTCACATTTTCTCATTGTGTTTCAAGTACATTGTGCAAGAGTTTGGATGGGAGGTTTTCGGTAGTACTGCTGTACACATTGCATTCATTTGCAGTGGAGGGGGAGACAGCAAGGAAGCAAATTCTTGGCTCATCTGAGCAACTATTGTTGATGTTTTGGAAAGATGCACCAGCAGAGCACATTTTCCAGATGTCCTTTATTTCAAATTCCTAATCCAAAGCACAGCTCCATATAGCATGCCACCGCCATCAGTCTGAACTGTATTTTAACCAGAGTATTTTATCTTTTCAGTTCAGGGAGTCCTTTTTAATTACATTTTATTTGTATTTACATTTTATGTGTTATTTCTTGTTAACTTCTGGAGGAATATGAATGGTCATATTGCATTCCATAGTTTCCATAGGGAAAACAATGGAATTCACAGCCATGGTGAATTCCAGTGGATTCACTCCCAGATGTGGTAACAGCCAACAGTTTAGATGGTTTTAAAAGGAGCTTCAAGCTGTCAATGGCTACTAACCTGGATGGTTAATTGCTACCTCTGGAATCATAGGCAGCAGACCTTAAATGTCACTAGGGAGGGACAGTGGAAGTGGGCAAGAACATATCTGTCCATGCTTGTGAACATCTTAAATACACCTGGTTGGCCACTGTTTCCCACAAATGCTGGATTAGATGTGTCCTTGCAAAGCTTGAGTGTGTGTATGTATGTGTGTGTATATCTATCTATCTATCTATCTATCTATCTATCTATCTATCTATCTATCTATCTATCATCCATCCATCATCCATCCATCCATCATCTATCATCTATTCTTACATTATTACTAATAATATCAGCCAGTGCCTTGATTTCTTTTCTATAATTTTATCCTTCAAATTTTCCACAATTTCCCAGATTTTACAAATGTATCATTTACGTCTTTACAAGAACAACAATACCAATAATCCTCAACTCATTGTAGTAGAGATTTTATGTCTATTCTTTAAATTCCAAGCAAAAGAAACATTTAACAAACAAAAATAAAAAAAACTCAGCATGCGCATTGAGAAAATGAACACATACATTCTCCTTTTTTCTAGGCACCTCATCCAAGATTTCACTCTCTATTTTGTTAACCTTTAATAAAAAAATAAAAAAATCCATGTCGCCATCTAACAAAAACAAAGAGAAGAAAAAACAAGAAGGATTTTTTTTTTCCATGGCCAAATAGAATTCACAAACGCTTATGGGATTTTCTGAAGATTTTCTGTCATTTTCCCAAAGGGCAGACAATAGAATCTTCTGGCTTTAATTCATTTGTGAGATTAAAATTACTTTCTTCCACATCCCCAATGTTTTTGGAGGAGAATTAATTTTAAACAGCATATGCAATGCTGTCTTTAAGCTGTCTGCTTATGGAAAACGTTGGCATCTTTTCTTTAAAAAAGTTTCTTACTGAGCAAACTGTTAGTTCACCCATTTCCTCCTTTGGATCTTATCTTTTGTAACGTAGATAATAAATTCCGGAATAGCTATTGGTTTCAGATGAAGACATTTCAGAGCTGCTGTCTAAAATATAACATTTGTGTTTATTTAATGGGCAAACTCTGTTTGTTTTTTAATGTTCAATTGTTAGGCTAGAGGTACTCAAAAACCATCAGGTCTGCATGTAGGTAAACATATCAGGAGAAGAACCTTGATGGATCAGACCACATGTCAACCTAGACCATTGTTCTGTCCCAAAAGACACCTAAGGATGGTATGGTCGACCCTTCAGGCCTTTAGAAAAGCAGTCAAGATCTGACTCTTTCCCCAGGCCTTTGAGTCAGGTTGAATGGAGTCCCAGTCAGATGAATTGCAATATATTTTAAACTAGTTGCTATTTTATGGTTTTAGTTGATGTTTAAGCGCTGTGTTGTACTTTTTATGTTGCATGTATTGTGGATGGTTTTTCTTGTATGTTGCCCAGAGTCAGAGTTGAATTGGGTGGCTGTACATAATATAAATAAATAAGAAAGAAAGAAAGAAAGAAAGAAAGAAAGAAAGAAAGAAAGAAAGAAAGCCTTCAAGGCAGGTCATGAGGACAATGGCTACCTTGTACTTCTGTTGCTAGCAATAACTGCTGGGACACCTTACGTTTTTGAAAGATCTGTCATCGCACAATCATACTTGGCATTGTCTCCATGATTTTGAAAAGTTTTGTAATAGTTGGGATGTCCATCATCCACTTTGTGGCCTGGTATGGGGTCAGCCACATTGATCGCTTATTTTGAAATGAGCCATGCTCCTGCTTCATCAGCCTATTCATTGTAATCTACTGCCAGTATTTTATATCACACTTGTACTAGATCCCCAGATCCATCATGAATCTTAAAGTTACCTGAGATGTTGGCCACCTCTCATTCTGTATGACAGCCTTCCCCATTTTGATGCCCTCCAACACCAAATCCCAGAATTCCAGCCCCCAATGGTGTTTGAAATAGATTTCTATAAATTTTCGAACAAAAATGTAGCATTTGGCCTGTTGATTATTCTCAATTACTGCTAAGCATCAAATTTTGTGGTCTGCAGTTAACCATCCCCATTCTTGTCTTTTGTTGCTTTTGATTATGATTAGACAACTCCTATGATGCTGTTCGAAGATCAGGATGGGGTAATAATATGAATTCCAGCCACAACAAAAGTGAGTCACTGTGATAATCCCTTTTGCCTTGATAGACTGACAGTTGTTTATCAAAAGAAGTTATGTTTTGAAATTTAAAGTGTTGTGAAGTTGATATCAATGATTGTGTTCTCACAGTATTCCTTACACTGATTTAATCCTCCATACCAGTACTCTTCAATCTCAGCAGCTTTAAGATGGGTGGACTTCAACTTCCAGAATTCCCCAGTCAGCATGGAATTCTGGGAGTTGAACTCCACACATCTTAAAGCTGCCAAGGTTAAGAAATACTGCTCTGTACTAAATCAAATGGCAATACAGGTCCTGATGGAGTTCTTTTCCTTGGCACCTCCATTTTTGTGATGTCTTGTGCCTTGTCTCATGAATAGAAAGGTTCAGTAGGGATTTATAAAGAAAGCTCTGTGGTATCATCTTGTCTTATTGGAAAGAACTGGGGTCTTTTGTTGTAGTATTTCTCTCACCTCTTTCTCTGCATCAGGGGTCAGGGCCATCTCAATGACCTTGAGAATTAGGGGCTATGCTAACAGTATGACATGATGCTTTGAGGGGTTACATTCCACTCTCTAACATTAACACAACACACACACACACTTTTTGCTGCTGCAACTTGGACTTTGAAAAGATTCCAGTTTCATTTTCTAAGCCAATCCAAGGATAATAGGGTGAGTGGACGTATTAGAAAGTAGAGTTGTGGGAAAGAGATAATAGTGAAGTGAACCTCACTAACATCTTCTAGCATGGAGCATAAATATAAATGGTCAGTGAATGAATTTAAAGTGAATGATATTATTTTGGTGTCTACTCTGTACTGTTCCTTCTTTTTCCTAACCTAACACTCCTTTTTTGCTTCTCTAGGCCCTCCTCTAGGAGGGACACAAAATGTAAGCAAAAACGTAGAACAACAGCGGCCCCAGCCAGGTAATAGTGCTGGAATCTACACAATTTTACTGATTTTGGTGAAAACAGAATCACATTACTATCTGACCATTATCTGAATACAGCAGTTAGCAATTGTTTCTAGTGGAGTTCATTTCATTTCATTTTAGCTCAGTTCAAGTTTATTTACAGTCATTTACCAGTGTTTTGCAAAAATCTAAAATGATAAAATAACAAATTCTGGTGGTGGGTACCCAGAAGACCCAAACAGGTCTTTGAGTCTCCTGGAACAGAGCTATAATGTTATATATTTTGTGTGATTTTCTGAATTTTGGAATATCTTTCTCAGTGAATGTTATTAGAGCTGCATGTCAATCCTCTTATAGAGAGAGGGAGACTGAGTGAACAACTAACACCAAAGTTTGGTGTTTGTTTCATTGATTTCATAAACAAAGTCATCTAATGTGGTGTGCCAGTTTGAAAAAGTAATCAGCCCCTTTTGTTCAGTAGCTGGTTGCAGTAGCTTTAGCTGAAAAAACTACAATCAGACCCTTCTTGAAATTGATCATTCTCAGAAAGGGAGCAAATGCTCTTTCATAGATCTATAAGGGTGATCTAATTTGCTGAGTTTGAGAATCAAAACTAACCATTCCACTGTTATAAGCACTATCCCCTAGATCTCAATAAGAGGAGAGATCTAAGAAGCAGATCCCATGTTCCTAGTGTAGGAAAGCTGAGGTTCATTCCCCAGTATCTCCATTCTGGTTGAGGAATAATAGCACAAATGCTGATACAGATAATGGGAGTAATGCCATATTCAGGCTAAAAATGCATTTATGGCTCTTCTGTCTCTGTGCTGTGGGTTCACCAACATCCAATCCTTTTTCTCTTTTCTCAATTTAGATCCATATCAGATCTTAGGACCCACCAGTAGCCGTTTAGCCAATCCAGGTAAGTCCACCTGAATCAAATTTAGTCTGACCCATGAGCTAATTCATCTATCCCACGTTCAGTACAAGGTCAATAAATGTAAAATAATTCCTGCAATGCATATGAAATGATCACATTATCATTTAATAAAAGAAGCAGCAACGTATAAGCTATAGCAATTTCCTAAAAATAAAACAGAAACTGAAAAGTAAGGATTGTTAAAATTCTTTTTAACAGTTTACTTCTTTTGAAGGAGCTGGGGGACCACCACTGAAAAGCTTATATCTCTAACGCTCACCAGTCAGATGGACCTTTTTGACTGACCTGTGAACAGCAAGAAGAGAACATTATAATTTTTTATCTCTCTCTCTTTCTTTCCCCTCTCATAGGGAGTGGACAAATCCAACTGTGGCAGTTCCTGCTTGAATTGCTGTCAGACAGTTCCAATGCTAGCTGCATTACGTGGGAAGGCACCAATGGGGAATTCAAGATGACAGACCCTGACGAGGTGGCCAGGCGCTGGGGAGAACGCAAGAGCAAACCCAACATGAATTATGACAAGCTGAGTCGAGCTCTCCGATATTACTATGACAAGAACATTATGACCAAGGTGCACGGCAAGAGGTATGCTTACAAATTTGACTTTCACGGCATCGCTCAAGCACTTCAGCCCCATCCAACAGAATCATCAATGTACAAATACCCTTCAGATCTCTCCTACATGCCTTCATACCATGCGCACCAGCAGAAAATGAACTTCGTCCCTCCCCACCCTTCCTCTATGCCCGTCACCTCCTCTAGTTTCTTTGGTGCGGCATCGCCATACTGGACTTCCCCTACCGGAAGTATTTATCCAAATCCCAACGTACCACGCCATGCCAATTCTCACATGCCATCACACCTAGGCAGCTACTACTAAATGCTTTTCATCTTTGGTGAGCTTTCTCATTTTGATTGGATGTTTTCTTCCCTTCTTGGAAATCTCTGGACTTTTTGATACAGTTGGGGGGAAAGCGGAAAAACTGGATATTAATATTGTTATTTTTATTATAATTTTTATTGGAATAAACATTTTATTTTTGTAAGTCTGCTTCTTCTGTCTCAGAGGAGCAGATGGATTCTCCAGTGGGCCAGTATCATACTTTTGTTTTGGTTGAAAGCCTTTTCTCATTTATAGGACCAGTTTTACGGTTGCGCAGTGGTTATCACTCAAAATCTTAGACAAAGCATTGCCAAGTCCTAAGCTTTTTTTAAAAAGAGAGATCTAAGTCTTAGAACATGAATGTTTGTTCCAAACGAATGGGAAATCAAGGTGGGTTTTTTTTTTCCAGTTTTGAGATGTGCTGAAGAAAAATTCACATACTTTGAGGACCTGGTTTGCAGACACCAACTGGAATTTTAGCTTTAAGGCCAATGAAGGCTTGGTGGTGGTGGTGGTGTTTTTTTTACTCAACTGGAAAAAAAAAGAGAATGAACTATAAATAAATATGTATATTTTAAAGCAACTAAGGGCATTGAAAGGACTTTACAAGAATGTGCATTGTGTTACATGGTTTTGTTAATAACTCTGGAAGCACAAGGCACCAGGAAAAAAAAAACCAGGAAGTTATAATGCATCGAGGACAGATATTCTTAGGAATGCAAAATGGAGCTAATATAAAATGACAGCAACTCCACAAGCTTCAACAAAGTTTGGGGAATTGCAAATAAACATTACCGATTCACGAACGCTGTGCGTTTGTCAGACCGCTACCCAAGAGGTCGACAGAGTCAGAGGGCAACTTACTGTATAAATTATGCAGAGTTATGTTTTTAACCTATATCTCACAATATTGATGGAAACGAAAACGAGTTGACCTCGGTCACAAATGCAGTTGTGGTTTTTCTACTATCAAATCCATTTTTTTAAAAAAATGTTCTTTTTAATCTGTACATTTGGGTTGCAGCTTTGTATTGGGTTTTTTTGTTTTTGTTTTTGTTTTGCTAAAAAAATAAACTTAAAAAAAGAAATGCATGTAATGTGTCTGTTGGAAAACTAAGCATACCATTTGGAAACAGATCGATGGTTACATCCAGAAACGTGGAATGAACATACATTACAAACCTATACTGGTTTTATATTGGTTAACTGTCACAGGTACCTCCAAAGAAATTTGGTGACTGACTCTTGAGAAGAAGGCTTAGATTTGTATTTTGCACCCTACCAAAGTTCCCCTTGCAAAATTACTGTTTTCAGATTTCCCTGGAAGAGAATAAATGCTTATTTGAACCACTTAAGTCTGTAGTATAGTGATGTTCTCAAGTTACTCTGGGTAATCAAAATATCATCTTGGCTCCCTTTTCAATTAATTTAATTGATATTTGTCATCTCATATTTGGGAATGAATTCAAAAATATGCAAAAGAAGAATGAGGGTTGAGCAATGCAAGGGAACCAATGTTCTCTCTCTGAGCTACCCAAACTGAACAGAATGATCCTCTCCACCTCCTGCTGCTTACATAGATTCTAGGAGTAAAAGCATAAATGTTAACCATGCAAAACAAGTATGCTTGATGAAGATCTTTGGTTCAACTTCTGATCTCACATATTTTTAAAAAATGCCCAGGGAACAGCTACTGGGTAAAATGTCTCTCTGCTTCAGCTACTGGAGACTCAGTGCCAGTGAGAATCCATCCTGGACAATTGTCTGATAACATCTTATGTATCTAATGATGGATAAGCAAGTTTACTATTATGAGCCATTACATGTAGGGCACTGTAGTAAGGGAGAATACAGTGTTTTGAATCCATACATTGCCAATTATGCAGGACAATGGATTGGGCCCAGTGGCTGAAGACAAAGGAGGGCAACCTGTTGATGTTGTCCAGTTGCAGCATGTCCCCCAAGCCCTTCTGGAGTGACCCAAACTTGCAGGATGGTGATAGAGAAGAAGGTGAAGCTAAAATCTCATCCTTCTCGCCACATTCCCACTGTGGGAAGAGGCTTTGAATTTATTCTCTTCCATTGGCCTTTTGATCAAGAGCTATCCCCCGTTGCCTGGCTGACAAGCAAGGAAAATGATGAGCAGGATTTAAGGGCTTTGCAGGTCACCACACTGAGCAGGCAGTCCATGCACAGCCTAAACAACAACCTGCATTAGATGCATTATGGACTCTACAATGCTCTCAGAATCTTAACAATGTAGGGAAGTTTCCTGGAAGACCCGCCAGGATCCATAGATAAATACACAACTGAGAAGGGCGGGGGGGGGGGAATAAAAACTGTTCAGAGATTTTTGTAATCCAACTGAGATGGGGAAGAAAATTAGCCTTTTCAGCAGTCAAGACTGGGATCTTCAATCTGCTGATACTATTCCACATATAAACATAATGTATAAAGTCTTTCCAAAAGGGTCAAGTGATACTTTATAATCTGGTTGCTATAATTTTAAATAGAAGAACTGACACACAAACAATAAAAGTTTCATGATGTTAAATACATTATCTTGAATGCTTTCTCGAATGTTTGGTTGCTGATGCAAAATATAGTGCAGACCATTTATAAAGCCATTTTTTTTAAAAAGTTCCCTATAGGGGTATTTTCATGCACCTTTCATATTTATGTGATGATAGATAGATAGATAGATAGATAGATAGATAGATAGATAGATAGATAGATAG